TTCATTTCTCCTAGACAAAGTGGAACTGCTAGGTTGAAGCACAGGTATATCTTCAACCTCAGAAGGAATTTCCAAAACTTTTCCAAAGTGGTGTTATGACCTTACATTCCCACCAACATTAAGAAAGTTCCAGTTGCTCATTTGTGCCAACATTTGGTATTGTCACCTTTTGAATTGACCATTCTACTGAATATATATATCACATTGTAATTTAAATTTGCCTTTCCATTAACACTTTTTCATGTGTTCAACTTTAGTCTTCATTTTTTATGAAGTACCTATTCAAGATACTTGTCCATTTTAAAATTGGATTTTTTTTTTATTATTCAGCTGTAGTTCTTTATATATTCTGGAGACAAGCCCTTTGTCAAACATGAGTTGTGAATATTGTCTCCCAGTCTGACGCTTGTCTCTTCATTTTCTTAATGGTGTCTTGATGAACTAAAGTTTTTGATAAAGTCCAATAAGTCATTTTTTAATTGTTTTTGGATTCTGTCTAAACAATTTTGGGCAATCCCCAATTTATGAAAATACTCTCTCATGTGTTCTTATAATAGTTTTATAGTTTTAGCTTTAACATTTAGATCTACGATCCATTTGAAATTAATTTTTGTGTTCAGCATGAGTAAAGGCCAAATTTTTTAAAAATATGGGTTTTTCAGAATCATTTGTTAAAAATATTTTCATTTCTACATTAAATTGCTTTGGTGCCTTTGCCAAAAGTCAGTTGATCATGTATGTGTAGGTCTATTTCTAGGCTCTGTCTTCATTTGTATTAATTTTTATCCTCATACCAACATCACATGGTCTTGGCTACTGTACTTTTATAGTGACTCTTGAAGTTCAATAGTGTGCATCATCCAGCTTTGTTATTTTCAAGATGATTTTGACTATTTTATGTCCTTTCATTTCCATGTGAATTATAGAACCAGCTTGTCAATTCTACTTTAAAACAGACAAAAAGTAGAAGCGTTGATACTGGATACTTCTGCCTTGTTCTTGATGTTCAGAGGAAAGTATTCAGTGACTTATCATATTATATGATCTGATCAAGGTTAGTTCCCATCCATTTCTAGCTTGCTCAGAGGTTTTTTTTTTTTTTTAGTCATCAGAGTATTGCATTTTGGAAATGCTTTTTCTGTATCTGAAGAGAGGACTATATGGTGTTAGTCCTTTATTTTGTTAATATAGTTAATTATACTGATTTTTGAATGTTCAATATTCTTTGATAAACTCCACTTTGTTGTATTATACATTTTGTATTAATGGATTTGATTTTCCAATACTTTCTTAAAGATTTTACATCTATATTTATAAAATGTTGGTCTGTAGTTTTTTTTTTTTTTTCTTGTGATATCCTCGTCTGATTTTTGTATTGGGGATATACAGGTAGATTCAAATCAATACATATGTTAATTTTAAAAGTATTCCCTTCTCTACTTTCTAAGTAAGTCTATGTAAGATTGATATCAATTCTTCTTTAAATGTTTTATATTATGTGCCAATAAAATCTTCTGGAACAAAACTTTCATTTGTAGAAAGATTTTAAAATATAAATTCATTTGTTTTTTATAGATATAGGACTAATTAGGCTTCCTATTTCTTGAGTCAGTTTTGGTAAGTTTTATTTTTCAAGGAATTTGCTCATTTAAGTTGTAAAACTTAGGCTGGGCGCGGTGGCTCACGCCTGTAATCCTAGCTCTCTGGGAGGCCGAGGCGGGCGGATTGTTTGAGCTCAGGAGTTCGAGACCAGCCTGAGCAAGAGCGAGACCCCGTCTCTACTAAAAATAGAAAGAAATTAATTGGACAACTAAAAATATATAGAAAAAGTTAGCCAGGCATGGTGGCACATGCCTGTAGTCCCAGCTACTCGGGAGGCTGAGGCAGGAGGATCGCTTGAGCCCAGGAGTTTGAGGTTGCTGTGAGCTAGGCTGACGCCACGGCACTCTAGCCCAGGCAACACAGTGGGACTCTGTCTCAAAAAAAAAAAAAAAAACTTATGCATAAAATTCTTTATTATTATTTTAATGTCTATGGACTCTGTAGTGATAGAACATCTTTCTTTCCTGACATTGGTAATTTGTGTTTTCTTTCTTCTTGATTAGTCTTGCTAAGGGTTTACCCATTTTAACTTTGCAAAGAACCAATTTTTGGCTTTGACAAAAATTCTCTATTGCTTGTCTTTTCTATTACATTGATTTCTGCTCTTATTCTTCTTTCCTTCAACTTTGAGTTTCATTATTCATCTTTTTCTAGCTTCTTCAGGTAGAAACTAAGATAAGTGATTTTAAGCCTTTTTCTAAATTCCCTCTAAACACTGCTATGGATGCATCCCACAAATTCTGATATATTGCATTTGTCATTCAGATCATACTATTTTCTAATTCCCCTTCTGATTTTTTTCTTTGATTCGCAGGCTACATTAAAGTCCATTAATTTTCAAATACTGCTTCCTAGATATTGTAGTTACTGATTTCTGGTTTAATTCCTTGTGGTGAAGTATATCCTCTGTAGGATTTCAATCATCTGAAATTCATTGAGACTTATTTTATGATACATCAGATGGCTTATCCTGGTGAAAATTTCATGTGCAATTGAAAAATTTGTTGAGTGTAGCATCATGTAAATATCAACTAGGTCAAGATAACTGATGCTGTCATTCGGATCTTTTCTATCCTGATTTTTAAAAATATATCCTATTAATTCCTGAGGAAGTATTATCAAACTGTAATTGTGACTTTGTCTATTTCACCCCTTCATTTTTTTCCAGTTCTTGCCACACATATTGTAAAAGTCCTATCACGTTATTAGATAGACATAATTGTTATTTGTACATGATAGAGACTTCCATCCCCTTAATAGACCTAGAAATATTCCCTTGTCTTCCCAAGTCTATCTTGTCTGATATTAACATAGCCACTCCAACTTTGTGATCAGTGTTTGCATGGTCTATCTTTCCCCATCCTTTTACTTTCACACTATTTGTATATTTGTATTTAGTGTGTGTCTCTTGGTTATTCAGTTTGACGATCTGTCTTTGACTGGAGTGTTTAGTGCACTTACATTTAATATAACTATTGGTATCTAAAGATTTAGTGGACATCATTGGCTTGTTTCCTTAGAGGGAAAGTATTTTTTGCTTTTTATTTGTATCTATTTGTCCTTGCTATTTGTTATTTTTCTTGTTGGTTTTTCTTACTGTTACTCCTTCCCTGTCTCCTTCTGGTTAATCAAATGATTTTTCAGTGTTCCATTTTGATTCCCTCCAGCAGTTCTAGCTGTATCTCTTTGCATTATTTTTTATTAGTTGCTCAAGGGATTATAATTGCACTTTTACGACAATTCTACTTAATATTAACGAATCTTGTAACAGTACAGTTCCATTTACCTATACCTTCTGTAAAACAATTCTGGATAGCAGACAGGTTCTTATAGATAACTAAAAACTAGGTAGTATACAGATGAGGCTTTGTGTATTTGCTCCTTAAACCAGTACATGACATTTGGACTGTTCAGACTGCACACACACGAGGTTAGAGAGGGAAACAGAGGTTTGACCAAAACACTAAGTATTATTCAAATTCTTTGTTCAAAGACATTATACATGAAGTTATTCACCTACACATCCAGTATCAGAAGACCATTAACTGACAGTGAATTGTGCAAACCTCTTTCAATCTTTTCTTCTAGGCTGGGCGTGGTGGCTCATGCCTGTAATCCTAGCACTCTGGGAGGCCAAGGCAGGATTGCTTGAGGACAGAGTTCAAGACCAGCCTGAGCAAAAGTGATACCCCATCTCTACCAAAAATAGAAAAAATTAGCCGGGCGTGGCAGCTCACACTCTAGTCCCAGCTACTTGGGAGGCTGAAGCAGGAGGATCGCTTGAGCCCAGGAGTTTGAGGTTGCTGTGAGCGAGGATGACACCACAGCACTCTAGCCACGGCTATGAAGCGAGACTCCGACTCAAAAAAAAAAAAAAATCCTTTCTTCTAATGTTAAAACAAACAAAACTGAAGGACACATTTAAATCATTTTAATGATTACTGAAGTTTGTCCAATTTCCCCCTGCTTTATTAGTCATTACTAACATAACCAATTTTGGAAGCAGCACTTTTAGAGTTGAAGTAACTCAAACCCTAATGACCTCAGTGGTATGTATGAAGCAGCAGCATCACAGATATCCCTAATAGTTACGGTATTCTACTCCACTATCCAGAACATTTTAATTTCCCCATAGAGTGAAAACAGTAAAATGGTAAAAAGCTACCATTTACCACGCCTTCACTAAGTTTAGAACATTGTGCTAATGCTTCATATATACTTATTTAATCTTCACATAAGGTAGGTACTATGCCCATTTCTTAGTTGAGGAAACAGTTCAAGAATTTGCTCAAAGTCAATAAACACGTATCAGAGATAGGAATCAAAATTTATGTGTAATTTTGGGCTTTCTATATGCAAATCCTGCAGCCTTAAACCACTCTTATACACTGCCTGTACGTGGGGAGAGTAGATGGGAACTCCCAGGGGACATTCTTCAATCTAGTTTTGTTGATTAAAAACAGAAAGGAGAGGTTGAGGAATCTACTTGCGGTAAAGGCAGGGGCTTAAAGGCTGACAACCAAGAAGGAAACTGGAAAACTTAAAAAGCAGCTATAAAACCTCAGAAGGAAAATCATCTTAGAGCATATTCAGAGGGGCAAAAAGACCTAAAGCAACACAGTGAGCATCCCAAAGGCCTAACTATACAGCTACAACAATTAGCTATCTCTAATGGGCCTGAGTTGCAGAGTATTCACATGAGTATCATTAAAAACATGACCATATAATATTTTTTAAGAATTGGCTAAACATCTATGCACATGTAGTCAGGTGGAAACTCACAGGTGACACAGTGTGCTTCCCATTAGTCATGTTTCCCACTGGAGCTGACTGTATCGGGTTTGTGAGACTTCTTCCTCCAAAATCAGTCAATAGACTTATGTTAAAGACAACGTGTATATTGAAAGTAGCAATTTTATTTGAGTTAAAATTATTTACAAAAACCCAAAGACATACTTCATGAAACTGGTACAAACTATTTTTTCCAGCTGTTGGCATTTGATCCAAAGATCATAGCTGGGAAATACTGTATAAAATAAAAATAGGATTGGATTCAGAAAAGTACTCTACTGTTCTAATTTCCAATTGGTAGTATTTACAGAAATATTTACAATGGAAAAAAAAGGTTACTTTAAAACTTTAGTTAATTTGCAAGTCAGCCTCAAGTACCCTAAAATGCAGAGTTCTCTGAGGGTTAAAAACACACAAATGCACTACAGTTGGTGAGGTGGTATCTCCCCCACCGCCTCCCCCCACCAAAATCTGCATCTCTATCAGTGCTTGACAATTAGTTATTATTTAAGAAACAAAATAAAACAAAAAAACTGTTAAACACTGAGGTAAATCAATTCTCAAATGATTACCAGTGTAACAGAAAAATGTAGTTCACCCTGATTGTTCTCATCCAAATGTTTCATAATATCCTCACCGTTTGCCAAGTCAGTTTTACCAAGTCTGTTCCTTTTCCTAAAGCCAATGATTAATAAATATCAATGTACTTTAAAATAATTAAAACATCTAACTAATTTAATTTTATGGGTATCACATACCAATATGCTTTTAAAATAGTTTGCTAAGCTAGCTTTTATACTCAGGGCAAATACAATCTCAATCTTTCCCACGTTACACTGGTATACTATGTTCTTAAAAGGTGAAGGGGTAGGGGTTGGGGTGGGTTGAAGGAAGAAGAAAACAATTTGCCTGGAATCAGTTACTTCCTTATAGATTTCCCAACAATCTGCATTATCAAAAATAGGAAGACAATAGAAGGCAGCCACTGCATCAAAAAACATTACAGCTGGCACTGATACAAGAGCCCCGATTTGTCACTTTATACAAGGAAATAACAAAGTCTAAATGGGTAAAAATTAGACTTTAAGCTATTTTCCCCAATACACACCAAACTAATATTTTTATGGCTTTAAGTTTTACAAATCCAATGAAGAAACATGATGTAACTACCTGAAAGGTATTTAAAAGTATTCATGAAACATCTCTCTAAAAAGCCTGTATTCAGGCCCAATCAATAAAAAAAGAAAAAACCATATAACCAGTGGTCTGAACAATAATAGAAGAAAAATTTGCAATGTCATAAAATTAAGTCTATAAAATATTTTGTGTGTTCCATAACTGCTTTTTCAAACAACTGTTCTATGAACAAAGAATCTGAATGAAAAAAGGGTCTTCTCTAAACCAGCAATTTAAGGCTTTGCGCTTATGCAATTGATCCTGTCATTCTATAGAAGAATATACATGTTATCTGGAAACATGAATTCCACATTGGTGTTTTAGCTTCCTTATATTTATTGTATTGAACATTAGAAAATATATCTAGAGAATCCTCCCTCATAACTTAATGTTTCAAGAGCCTCTCTAGCATTAAGTGTAAACTACCCTGGGTTTGTTTATTTTGCTCACTCCTTTAACAGGGCACATCATCTTATATAATATTCCCTCGACTGTGATTTGTTTTCTTGTGTCTACAGCTATGACACATTATGGTATGATATTGAATATGGTTGTGGTCACAAAAGTGAAAAACAGTTCAATAACCCAAACCTAATCAAGAATAAAAAAATATACTATTAATCCCTTGTGTCTTTGGATTCCATCTAATTTTAAATATAGACAGTAGCTCAGGGAACAACAACCAAAAAATTCACAAAATTATTAAAAGCTTTATTTACGATTGGAATCATTCAACAAAAAAGCAAAAGCAAATGAGCCTGAAAAAGGAACTAAGCTGTTGTCTAGAATGTCCTCAGAACATTCGATACCTCAGTAGCTAAGCTGCCTTTGCACCTGGCTGGCATGACAACAGTGGCTCAACATACACAGCAGTTGCACTAACAGCAGCACAAATTTTCCCCTTAAATCTTGCCCAGAATAAAGCAAGAAAACAAGGGGAGGGTATAAACTCTGCCAAAGTAAATGTATTTAAATACTGCATGGAATTGTTAACAGCCTGAACCTTTTCCCTCATTTTTGATAGTTGCAGATTGATGTAGTAACTGTCATTTAGCAAATGCAGAATGCATGACGAAGAAATCAGGTGGTCTTAAAAATCCAAACATGAATGATACTGATGAATGTTCTCGGTATATCTTCAAGGACTTCTTTCGTGACTTTTCTTTGTCTAAGGATAGCTCCAGCATTACCGAGCACCTGAAGCAAAGGGAAAGCAGCTAGCAATGTTCCAAATATTCAATCACTCTAGAGATAGATTTCTGGCCCGTTGTTCCAACAGCACACTGAAAGAGGGGGTGAAGGAGGGAAAGAAGTAACAGTTAATATTTAACAAACATTAGAAAGTATTAAATAGAAGTTTAACTCCTTTATATTTACTAAAATGAACACCACAAATCAAAAGTACACTGATATTAAATTGTGGCTTTGATAATAAAGTGTTTTGCCATAACATGAAATAATTATTAATAACTTGAAGAACTAAAATTAAAATTAAAAGACAATCCTTTTTTGCTTCCACTCACTGTGGCCATAGTATTTTTATTTCTATTGTCAACGTATTACTCTTAAAATTTAAAACCACATACGCTACAATAAAAGCTACTTACAGTAAGATTCATGAAGCTCAAAAATTTTTTGAGCATCTCTGTCATTATTGAAAAGTCTCCTTCTGGCAGATATTCCCGCACAGTGGTTACATTGATCTGAGGAAACAAATCAAAGAAATATTGGTCGGCGGGCAGAAGACATGAGATCGCACCCTGTGTTGTTGGTTCTGGCACACACCCTGTTGCAAAACAAACTTCTACAAGGTCCTTGGAACACCTAGGTTATTCCGTTTCCACACTCACTCACTCTGCATTAGCATCCATTCCCTACCCCCAGCCTACCCTCAAGAAAGGAAAAAGGCACAGCTGGCAAAGCCTCCGAAGAAGCATTTGTGTGCATAATTACTTTTGTAAACTTCAAAGAAAAAGGCCTGAAATAACACTGCACTGGTGAATATGTGAGTGCGTGCTGGGGGTGGGTGCCGCAAAAGGAATTGGGAGAGGAGGGGAGGATGTTACACTGAGAATGTACTCATAGAGCTGCTCTCGAAATAAAATTTTTCATGCTCCACAGGTGAATTCAGCCAAATATGTAGGACAGGAATTAACTAGAAGTTCTTTTATAAAGAGATTCTTGAACAATGCCAGCAGATAAGAGAGCGTTTCCCTTCATTATTGGCAAGGAACAGCCAAACTATTAATATATATAAAAAAATCTATTATAAGGAAAATATTACATGACCTGCTTAAAAAACTATCCTATTTCATTATATTAAAAAATGCTTTAAAGCTTCAGGAACAACAAAAAGAAAAGCTCCTCTAGTAAGCTGCACCTATAATAAGGAGCACAAAACAATGTTATCCCAAGTTTGAGGATGCAAAGTAATGGGCCGAAAAAAAAAGTGGGGGAGGGCTTCCAATTTGACTTTTGTTAGTGGGAGCAAGGAAAAAGAAACTACATATTACTCTTTAGCAATCTGCCATCAGCCCCTCCCTCCCTCTTTTCTATTCCTTCACCAGGACACTTAAAAAATTATAAAGAAGCAAAATAAAGTGCTCCTATGATTTGGATGGAAGTCCCTCATTCCTCCTTTTTTTTTTTTTTTTTGAGACACGGTCTTGCTCTGTTGCCCAGGCTAGAGTGCAGTGGCATCATCATAGCTCACTGCAACCTCCAACTCCTGGGCTCAAGTGACCCTCCTGCCTCAGTCTCCCAGTAGCTGGGACTATAGGGATGTGCCACTATACCTGGCTAATTTTTCTATTTTTAGTAGAGATGGGGTATCACTTTTTCTCAGGTTGGTCTGGAACTCCTTACCTCAAGTGATCCTCCGGCCTTGGCCTCCCAGAGTGCTATAGGCATGAGCCACCACTCCCAGCTGATAGCCCCTCATTAATCTAAATCAAACCCTTCTCTTGTCCACACATTACAGAATGCAATACATACAATGGCTGAAGCAATAGGAAGGACAGTTATAGCATTTATTTTAAACAGCATAGCAGGTACAAAAAGAAAAGGCTTGATACAGCATGGACTACTTGAAAAATTTTAAAAATATCCAAGAGGTATGTCTGGTTTGGAAATTGGGAAGCAAGCAGTCTTCAATCTGCTGTCCTGAAGCAGTAAACAAAGTCAACATTGCCTCAATGCTGGTGGGGAGTGATGTGATCAGCAAGTACTCTGAAGACAGATGGCCCTGGTGGCAGCATGTAAGACCCAGGAATGGAGGGAGGCAAGAGAGCAGAAGAGCTGGAAGAAGACTGACCACCGCAATGCACCAGATGCAAAGTGGTAAGAAGTCATGGTGGACAACTGAAAATGAGACCAGATTCTCCTGGGCTTCCTAAGTATGCTGCCCTTGACCACAAAGCAGCGCTTGCTACATACAACCACCTGCTTTCTTGTCTATTTCTTCCACTAACACACTGGGAAAACCAATCTCCTTTACCTTTTGTGGGATCAGCTAGTTTTTTGAGTTCACAACACTGCCCACAATTGAAGAACCTTATCTCTTTACAGATAAGATACAAACATAAATAGGATTTAACATGGAAAAGACAGCCCAAGATAAATCACATGTTGTAATAACACAATTTCAGAGACCATTATATAAGAACGAACATGACTATGATTAAACCTAGTATGTGTAAAACTGAATACTTAAAAAGATTTAAATTTAAATATTACATTATTTGAGGCCTACTTCCTTCTTCCCTGTTTTTTTTTTTTTTTTGAGACAGAGTCTCACTCTGTTGCCCTAGCTAGAGTGAGTACCGTGGCGTCAGCCTAGCTCACAGCAACCTCAAACTCCTGGGCTCCAGCGATCCTCCTGCCTCAGCCTCCCGAGTAACTGGGACTACAAGCATACTACCATGTCCGGCTAATTTTTCCTATATATATGTATTTTTAGTTGTCCAGATAATTTCTTTCTATTTTTAGTAGAGACGGGGTCTTACTCTTGGCTCAGGCTGGTCTCGAACTCCTGACCTTGAAGCGATCCACCCGCCTCGGCCTCCCAGAGTGCTAGGATTACAGGCGTGAGCTAGTTTGTTTTTTTTTACGTTTCTCATTTGTTCTTAAAATCTTGACATTGGAAATAAGGAAAAGGACTGAACTGAAGAGGTTACAGGAAAGGGGGATAAAGCAGGGCCTCCAGAGCCATGACTCGAACCTTGGTCTTCATCCTGAAAGCGGTGGTGCCCAGAGGGGGCTCACGGAGCAGGCTGGTATGCATTTAGATTGAATACTATGTAAGTATGGAAGAGATGGATTACGACTGATTTGTAAAACTACACAGGACTTAGATAAATAGATACAGAAAGTGAAAAAAAGACACCATAGAGAACTAGATGGCGGAAATGTGATTGGGGAGATGGACCCAGGCACAAGAAGTCTGCATGAGTTACTCCTCAAATGAAGCTATTCATGTAACATTAGTCTTTTCTTCCAATCCTCTAGCTTCAAAAAGAGTGATGGCACTGACTTCCTACTAAAGCCAACTCTCTTGCTACATTTTTTCTTGTCTCCTGAATGCTCAAGGAAGAAAGGAGAGGAAGGGGAAGGGAAAGGGAAAGGGAAGGGGAAGGGGAAGGAAAGGAAAGGGAAAAGGAAAAGGAAAAGGAAAGGAAGAAGAAAAGAAAAGAAGAAAAAAGAAAAGAAGGGAGAGGGGGAAGGGGAAAAAACTCCCTTTTATTTAAAAAACTGGCTTTACCACACTGGACCTTCCACTTAAAAATATGCATGTGAACCGCCCATTTTAAAGGGAACACTCACGGTGATTCTGCCACCCCCTTTACAGACTGATTTACTCCTCATCTTTGTTTTTCCCATGGCAGCAGATGTCCCAATAGCCACAACCTTCCACTTCTGGGATGACTCAGTCAGATTATCTAGACACTCAGATTTCTCACAGGTAATGTGACCCAATGCTGGCCCAGACGAGAGGAAGTCTACTTGGTGAAGGGTGGGGTGGAGTAAGGTCCAAGGGGGTGGGGGGGATCTGTTGTCTTAAAAAGAAACATAGAGGAAGAGGCACCTATTACTGCTGGATATTATTTAACTTAATGAGATATCTAGCTATAGTCAGCATAGGGTCATGAGAACTAGCAGAGGAGCAGACAACATGTGGAGGACAGCAGTTTAAAGACAGAAATTATCTGAGTTCCTAATGACCTTGTTGAGGCACTGAAATAATCCAAATTAGACTTTGCCATCTTGGTTAAGCCAGCTAAGTACAGGTTTTATACTATCCCTTCTTTTATTCCAACCAAAGACATCTGAACAGATTCATCCATCAAATAACAACTTTTTCATTAGACTAATGTACTCCAACTCTGGGAAGTACCTTTAAAAGTTCAACAAATATTTAAAAGTTTTTAACATTATACGCTATCTTAATTTTTAATTTAATTTCAGGTGTGTAAATTTTCCTCCTTTACTTCATGAGACTAACTTGTTTTTGACATCTGCTTTTTATTAAACAGCAAACGGCCTAACTCTGACATGCACATCAATTCTAAAAAAGCCATAAAGATCAACAAATTACTTTTAAAACATGAAAATCAATTTATTTCACTCCAAACCTCAGTTAGTAAAACATATATTGGAAAGGGAATAAACCTGTCTAGAACGTATAAAAAAAAAAAAATGCTAGATAAGTTTATTCCCTTTCTAACACAGATTCTACTAAGAAAGGTTTCTACTCAAAACTAAAGAAAACTGTTGGAAATATTAAGACATTTTCTTGCCATTTTTCTTCCACAGGAAAATAATTTAAAAATTGTTTAAACAACCCTCTAGCCAGCCAACAGTCTTTCTGGAATAATATGGACATAAATGGGGAAAAATTAAAGAAATAAATAAGTGACATGGGTTGGTATGAAACTGGTCCACTGGAATCTTTGAAAGAAAAGATTTTAAAGATAAAAAGATAAAACATTACTGAACTATTTACTCACTGGACTTTCCTGGCAGAGACACCCGAGAAGTAGTGCCGTGTAGGAGGCCACGATGCAATCCTCCATGTGTTTGCCAGCATGCTGAAGGGCTGAAAATGTTTAAATAAAGAATTATATCAGTATTTCAATTAATAACCATCTCACAAAATCAACTATTTCTATTAGTTATCTTCTCTTCAAAACTACTAAACATCAACGAATGATGCTAAGACAACTGGATATCCACAAATTAACTCAAAATGGAGTAGGGACCCAAATATAAGGGCTAAAAACCATAAACCTTTTGTGTTATGAAGGGCACCATTAACAAGGCAAAAAGACAACCTACTGAATGGGAGAATATATTTGCAAATCATGTATCTGGTAAGGATCAAGTACCTAGAATATATAAAGAATTCTTACAACTCAACAAAAAGACAACCCAATCAAAACCTGGGCAAAGGAACTAAACAGACATTTCTTCAAAAAAGATATGCAAATGGCCAATGAGCACATGAAAAGATGTTCAATATCACTAGTAATCAGGGAACTGCAAATCAAACCACAATGCGGTATCATCTCACACCCACCGGGACTGACCTAAGACAAATAGTGGAACCCTCATCCATTGCTGATGGGAATGTAAAATAATGCAGCCACAATGGAAAACAGCTTGGCACTTTTTAAAACGTTAAATATAGAGTTAATATATAATGCAACAATTGCAACTCCTAGGTATATATCCAAAAGGAATGTAAATATGTCTACAAAAAATGTACACAATTGTTCACAGTAGCATTATTCACAAAAGCTAAAAAGTAGAAACAACCCAAATGCCTATCGATGGACAAAAGGATAAACAAAATGTGGTACAATAATACTATGGAATATTATTTGGCTATAATAAGGAATGCAGTACTAACATATGGTATATCATTGATAAACCTTAAATACATTCTCCTGTTTGAAAGAAGCCAGTCACAAAAGGCCACATATATTGTATTACTCCTTTTATATGAAATGTCCAGAATAGGCAAACCCATAGAATCAGAAAGTGGATTAGTGGTTGCTAGTGGCTGGGGGAGGGGAAAATGGGGGTGATGGCTGCACAGTCTTACCAATATACTAAAAACTACTGAATTATTCACTTTAAAAAGGTGAATTTGGCCGGGCGCGGTGGCTCATGCCTGTAATCCTAGCACTCTGGGAGGCCGAGGCAAGAGGATTGCTTGAGCTCAGGAGTTCGAGACCAGACTGAGCAAGAGCGAGACCCCGTCTCTACTATAAATAGAAAGAAATTAGCCAAACAACTAAAAATAGAAAAAATTAGCCGGGCACAGTGGCACATGCCTGTAGTCCCAGCTACCCAGGAGGCTGAGTGAGGCAGGAGGATCGCTTGAGCCCAGGAGTTTGAGGTTGCTGTGAGCTAGGATGACGCCACGGCACTCTAGCCCAGGTAAGAGAGTGAGACTCTGTCTCAAAAAAAAAAAAAAAAAAGGTGAATTTTGTAGTATCTGAATTATGTTTCAATAAGCTGTTTACATTTTTAAAAGATTGCTAAACAACCAAAAATATCATTATGCGCCCCTCCCCAAATATCAAAACCTAGTAACTGAGAAAAAGAAACAGAAATGTCTTACAACATCAGAACTAATGGCATTAGATTTGGGGAGGAGCTCAGATTGAGACATTGCTGGGTATTCCTAGTTAGGTGAAGCTGAACACACTACAGCTGTCCCTCGGAATCCACAGGAGATTGGCTCCAGGACGCCCTCCCATACCAAAATCCGAGGATGCTCAAGTCTCTGATAAAAACTGGCACAGTGTTTGTATGTAACCTATGCACATCCTCTGGTATACTTTACATCATCTCTAGATTACTTATAGTACCCAATACAATGTAAATGTTATGTAAATAGTTGTTATACTTTACTTTTTATTTGTATTATGTTTATTGGGTTTTTTCCCCAAATATTTTTGATTCACTCACGGTTGGTTGACTCTGAGGATGCGGAATCCATGTAATGTAGAGAGCTGACAATTTAAATTTCCTAACCTTAGTGACAGGAAATTCAAATGGCTATTCTGTAAAACTTGTATGAATGGTAAAACAAGTATCAGAATTACTGACAACACTAGATACTCGAAGATTTGACTAGTGCAGATATTACCTCCAAAGTAATCCTTACAGTGTTTACCACCCAGTACTTACCCTTTGAGAACTATTCCTAGAATTTATTACAATAGAGCTCGGTTTAAAGTGAAACTGACAAAACAATCGAAAAAATTCAAAACTGGAAAAAGCATTTTGTGTAGCTGCTTTTCAAATAGATGAGTAAAGGAAAGAAGGGCCCAGGAAGGAAAAGTGACTTGATCTTTCCTGTCGCTAGCATGGGTGCCACTGACATCCACCTTCCTCACTGCTAGGGAGAACTACTACAATACTGAAGTATCAAAGCCTGTCTGGACTGAATTAGAAAAGCCCTGGCCGGGCGCGGTGGCTCATGCCTGTAATCCTAGCTCTCTGGGAGGCCGAGGCGGGCGGATTGTTTGAGCTCAGGAGTTTGAAACCAGCCTGAGCAAGAGCGAGATCCCGTCTCTACTAAAAATACAAAGAAATTAATCGGACAACTAAAAATACATAGAAAAAATTAGCCAGGCATGGTGGCGCATGCCTGTACTCCCAGCTACTCAGGAGGCTGAGGCAGAAGGATTGCTTGAGCCCAGGAGTTTGAGGTTGCCGTGAGCTAGGATGACGCCACGGCACTCTAGCCCGGGCAACACGGTGAGACTCTGTCAAAAAAAAAAAAAAAAAGAAAAGCCCTAAAGTAACCGCTAGATTATGACAATCTGTGAATTAAAATACTTTGAAGAAAACAAAATCAAACCATTATGCTCAACTTGACTACACTATTCAAAATAAATATACCTTTATTGAGGTCAAGTTCTTCATCATCCTCCTCCTTCTTATGTATCTCTTCTGTACCATCAGTCTTTTCAGTTGACACCCACTGTATTTCTCCACTTGTTTCTTGCCACTCTCCACTCTTATCATGCTGAGTGGTGGGAGCATCTTTGATCAACTCATCTGTTTTACTTTCGGCCAACTGGGCTGCTCGTTCTCGTTCAAGGAATAGCTGATAAAAATTATTTTTGAAGATCATTAAAAAGAGATCATCAACTAACATACAGACACCTAAATTCAAGGTTCTGATTGATTTTAAATATATTGCTAACTCTAAAGAAGGCTGTCTGGTAAAAAGAGTGAGTATAAGTAAAAGGTTTTAGTCTATATCTTACTGAAAGCCAAAACAAAACCATAAATGCTGCTAGGACTTAATCAAGTAATCTATTAAATGATGCAGGTATTGTTTCCAAGAATGACAATTTCAATTTCCTTTAATTTAGATAATACTAACAAATTCAAGTAAAAAAAAAACAAAAAAAAACAAGACTTAAATTAACCCAGGCAGACTAGATGAGTTAATGGGAAAGGAAGGAAGGACACTGAATTAAACAACATGATGTTGGTGGGAGGGGAGCAATGGGTTCTTTCAAAGAATTTAAGAGAGAATCAGCAAAAGTCAAAAGCAAAAGATCTCAGAAAGAACTGGATCTCAACTAACATTATTAGCATTTTTACCAAATGAAGTACATAGGGAAAGTCATAAGTCAAAAGGGAACACACCAGACCAGATGCGGTAGCTCACACCTGTCATCCTAGCACTCTGGGAGGCCAAGGTAGAAGGATCACTAGAGGTCAGGAGTTTGAGAACAGCCTGAGCAAGAGTGAGTCCCTGTCTCTACTAGAAAGAGAAAAATTAGCTGGGCATGGTGGTGCTCGCCTATAGTACCAGCTACTGAGGAGGCTGAGGCAGGAGGAGCGCTTGAGCCCAGGAGTTTGAGGTTGCTGTGAGCTAGGCTGAAGCCACAGCACTCCGGCCGGGGGTTGAGGGGCACACCAAATTCCTTCGCTTCACTTACTTTATTTTCCTCTATGCTGGTACAGTGCTGAACACATAGAAAGCATTGAATATACTCACTTTCATAGTTTGGGAAAAGCTCCAATTACTAGAAAGAACTACTTGAAGATCAAATGCCAAACAGACCTCAAAAATTTGCTGAATACACAAAACAGTGGTATATAAACTTCAAAGACAGCTAGTATAAGATAATACCCTTGAGAAAATAAAGTTTAAGCTTTATATAGAAAAGCTATTCTGAAAACTGGTCCAGGAATCTCTGCGAGTCCCTGAGACCCTATCGAGGACTCTGGGAGGTCAAACTTATATTCATAATAATATTAGGTCATTAAATATGAAATGTCTGATTTCCTTAAGTATTAAATTTGATAGCTGGTATCTCTGACATTTTGACTTTGACATTTGTTTTATTTTTATTGTGAAGGTACATCCTCATTCTTTCAAACACATGGTTTCTGGCTTGTGATTATCTTTCAAAAAAATTTTTAGAGCAATTTCTGCGAAACCATGGATAAGTTAAAAATTCGTGTTATTTTTTAATATGATTTCTATTGTGGAACCAATGCTGCAGAGACAGCTCAAAATATCAGCAAAGTGTTTGAAAAGGATGAGGCTAATGAACACACAGCACGCCGATGGTTCCAGAAGTTCTGTTCTGGTGATTTTAATCTTGAAATGAGCCATGTGGGCAACCTGAGACAAAGGTAGATAATGATGAGCTAAAAGCTATAGTGGAAGCGAATCCATCTCAACCTATGCATGAACTGCTTGATGTTATTATTCCAATAATATTGGACCATTTGAAACAAATGGACAGGGTAAAGAAGCTGGATAGATGGGTACTAATGAATTAAACAAGTATCAGAAGCGAAATCATCTCTAAGCTTGCCTTTCTTTGCTGTCATGACATAAAGGTGAACCAGTTCTATAGTGTATTGTTATGTGTGATGAAAAACAGATTATTTTTGATAATCACATGCATTAGGCACAATGATTGGATAAAGAGGAAGTGCTAAAACACAGTCCAAAACTGAATATTCATCAAGAAAAGCTAATGGTGTCTGTTTGGTGGTCCAGCGCTGGTATTATCTACTACAGCTTCATGAAGCCTGGTCAATCCATTACAATGGATGTCTACTGCAACCAGTTGGATGAAATGATGAGGATGCTTGCAATCCTCATTGAGAGACTGGTCAATACAGACAGGCCAATCCTCTTGAAAGACCACATGTTGCAAAAAACAACGCTGCTCAAACTATAGATGCCGAACCTGGAAACTCTCTGTCATCCACCACATTCACCTGACGTTACACCAACTTGACTACCACTACCTCCAAGCTGTGGACCACTTCTTGCAAGGAAAAATATTCAATTCTCAACAAGCTGTGGAAAATGCCTTTCGTGATTTCACTGCCACTTGCTGTCCAGGCTTCTTTACTGCTGGCATAAACAAGCTACTGTTAAGATGGCAAAACTACACTGATAGTTTAGGCACGGACTTTAATTGTACTATTTCTTGTTTGAGATATAATAAACTATAACTTTTGATTCAAAATCAGACATTTCATATTTAATGACCTAATACTAAGAGATCAGCCTACTGCTTTCTCTCATGAGGGTACAGTGGAGTTTTATAGTCTACAAGCCATGTGATTATGTCACTACTCTAATGGTTAATGCAATTTTCCTAGTTTTTTTTTTTTGAGACAGAGTCTTACTCTTTTGCCCGGACTAGAGTGAGTGCTGTGGCGTCAGCCTAGCTCACAGCAACCTCACACTCCTGGGCTCAAGCAATCCTTCTGTCTCAGCCTCCCGAGTAGCTGAGACTACAGGCATGCGCCACCATGCCCGGCTAGTTTTTTCTATATATTTTTAGCTGTCCGATTAATTTCTTTGTATTTTTAGTAGAGACGGGGTCTCGCTCTTGCTCAGGCTGGTTTCAAACTCCTGAGCTCGAACAATATGCCCGCCTCGGCCTCCCAGAGTGCTAGGATTATAGGCGTGAGCCACCGCATCTGGCCAATTTTCCTAGTTTTAATTTATAAGTCAGTAAATATAGATATAGTACATATGAACAAAAGCTCTTTGGGTTTCCTAATAATTTTTAAGAAGCCCTGAGAGTAAAATATTTGAGAAGACAATGATAGGCTCCTAGTCATGACTCAGGAAAGGATCAAGTTTTTGTGGATTAATTTCTGAAGTCACAACTTCAAGCATTACTGGTTTCAAAAAGACAAAAAGAGGTAAAAAGTCAGCAAGGGCTTTGGAAAAATAAAAAGGATAGTGCAATCCATTACTGTTTCTGGACATGTGCAAAATTAACATTGAAGAAAATACCAAAAATATCTAGAAACCTGTTAGACTGGCAAAATGTTGGCATGAGTATGAAGAAATGAGGAATCATAAACAGTTTTGGAGTAAAGTATAATTTGAGGGCAGAGGAAGTATGTGTTTAGTAATGAGGGTGGGAGGAGTTAGGCATAGCAATTTTAAATACAGTATGTATACTCTGACACAACAATTCCTTAAGCCAGGAAATAACCCAACACACAAACTTTGAAAAGTATGTCCCAAGATTTATGTACTACGGTACTTATCTCTATAATATTTATAACAGAAGAAAATGAAAAGAAAAACACACAATAATCAAAAAATATTTCAGTAGAGGACTGGTTAAATAAACTACTAAATGGTATTCATTACAAAGAAAGATAAACCTACGTGTTGATATAAAAAGCGCACGAAGACAATGTAAACAAAAAACAGTACACACTAATGACTATGTATAGTAAGATTCCATTTATGTAAGAAAAACTGCACATTTATTTTTATACATGCATAAACACTAACTTCTCCGGACAGATACAAAACTATTAAAAATGGTAACTTTTCAGGAAATAGACTTAAGGATTTTAAACCATTCTGAATGTAATTTTTTAAACCTATGTACATAAACTACTTCTGTTTATTTTTAAAATAAACAGATCAATTAATTTTTCAAGAGTAGATAAGAAAAACAACTAGACAGAAGAATGTTCATGTCAGTAATCAGAACTACCTATTTTGAAAATTACTAGATTAAGATCAATGCTATCAGTAGTACTAAGGACATAAATCTGAACATGAATTTTTCCACTGTATCTTTAAATATGAGAATTAAAAGCCATTTCTTGATACTTACGATAAGTGAGTAGAAGGTGACACAATTTTCTAAAACAAGAGTAACAGAACCTATCACTCAAAACGTATTACAGTCTAAAAACAAAAACTTCAGACTGATTAAAAACTGACAAACCCTAGCAGGTAAAAGAAAGCCAGGCATGATATAGAGTGATACCCTGAAGAACAAGCCGCTTCTACAACACGTAGTACAAAAGAGGAATACTGGGCTGGATATACCAAATATTCCCAGGTCAATCAGACACAGTAGGAAAATTTGAGACTATTCCTAAACCCACAAACAGAGGTCTCCTGGAGTGTGGGAATGCTTTCTGCAGATTAACCCCTACTATGTGAATAATGCAGATCGATCATCTATTTCTTCAAAAACAAACTCCTGAAGCCACTGATGGCATATTTTTATTCATTGTGGGTTCTATTAGGCACCAGAATGGTTGAAAAAACTCTGGTATGACCATACAAGGGAATACCTACTCAGCAATAATGACATGTGCAAGAATCTGGATAGACCTCAAGGACATATGATTAATGAAAAAAAGTCAAACTCAAAAGGTTACATAGGATTCCATTTATATAACATTCTTGAAAAGATAAGACTGGAGATGGAGAATAATTAGTGGTAGCTAGGAGACAGGGAAGGCCAGCAGGCTAGGTAGTGGGTAGCACAAGGGAATCCTTTTGTGGTGATAGTTCTGTACTTTAGTGTAGTGGTGAGTTCATGAACCTAAACATGGAATAAAACTGCATGAAAGTATATATGTCACACACACACACACATAAATGAATGCAGGCTAAAATGGTGAAATTGAATAAGGCCTGAAGTCTAGTTAATAGAAATGTAAGAATGTCAAGTTATTGGTTTTGATATTGTACTACAGTAATATAAGATGTCACATTAGATGAAGCTAGGTAAAGAGTAAACAGGAATCTTTGTACTATTTTTGTAATTTCCTATGAGTTCCTATACTCATCTCAAAATACAAAGCTTAAAAACAGAGCAATAAATTACACAGCAAAGAAATGCTTCTTTTAGCATAAAAATAAATCAATAAGTAAATGAGGTCTACAAAGAAAAAATAGTCTATTATTACCAATTATTGTAAGTAAATTACTACTACTGTTTAGCTATTAAGTTACCATGATAATTTATCACTGGTTTCACATATAATTTTATTTTTCATAACTAAGGACTAAAATTTCAAGGCCATTCAAGACTGATTATTCTGAATCCTAGGGATTACATCTCATCCATGGTCAACACTCAATTATACATAACAGAGAAGAATAAGAGGATAATGAAAAATTAAGACTTTAAATGGCTCAAAGAAACTGTATCTTCCCAGGATTTCCCATGCTCAGCCACTTTGTCACTTTCCATACCGGTAAAGAACAGGTGACAAAGCACTAACAGTGTTCTGGACACACATCAGACCAGTAAGTAAATACTGGAGGACTGGATAGGATGGGGCTGGATTCCCAATTTCCATTTTGTTTCATTTCCAATTTGATTCATAAAACAAATGAGCCTTGTGATCACTTCTTGAGGAGTGATTACAATAGCTGAGTAAAGCCAGTGTACCTCTTACTGGTCTACAGAGAAACTGTACCACATTTTTAATTGGTTAAGAATACTAGTTAAAATAAAGTTTCATCCTGGAAACTATGAATATTTAAGAACTGGTCAGGTCTAAAAGACATTCCCTCCCTACGCCAGCAAAGATATGCTTCGGAAGTTCTAAATTAAAAAAATAAAATAAAATAAAGGGCAAGGAGATAAAAAGGTGCAACTGATAAAGGAATTGGAAGATGCAACAAACTACAGGTGTTAGCTTGTTTTTTTAAGTTGTTCTTACCTGCACTAAAGCCTGAACGGCATGAACTTGTCCAGCTATTCTTAAACTATCATCTCCTTCTCCACTACAGAAAGAAGAATCAAAAGAACACGATGTTTCCATGTTGACAAGACAGTGCCGATTCCGAGCACTATACTCCACTAGATTAATCAGTAGACCTAAGCCCTACAAAAATTTTAAAAGATACATATTATCACAGGTGAGAACTTAAAACAAATGAACACAATATATGTACTTTTATTGGCAGCTTATAAAAACCTGGTAATCAGTGTCTTATCCTCTGAAAAATGGCTAAAAACCATTATGTAATGTAAGAAAGATTCCAAAAGAATCATTCCTTTGGTTTTTAATCACCACTTTTAGTTTCCATACTTTTTATTTTTACATACAGTCCTTCATGACTGTCCTTTGTACAATAAGAAGTATGTTCATACAGAATTTATCAATACAATTCCACAACATATTAAACAACTTGTTCTTAAACTAAGATGAATGTTTTCATCGTACTACATAAAATACTCATTTTGGAAACAGTCATTTCAACTTACCAGCACTCGAATATCAAATCTCTGCTCCTGAGGTAGGTACTTTGGAACCTGAAGCACACAGTTCATCGCTGTGCCTATGAGGCCATCCTGTTCTCCTGTTTTGGTGCTGCCCCACTCTGACGTAAGAAATGGAAACAGAAAAATTGTTACTGATTCTTCCTTATGAAAATAATAAATCAGTATTTATTAAAATGGATATTAACTTAGGATTATATAGTTATCCTTTTATTGAAATACATTATTGATACTAGGCTAATTCTAAAATTATCAACTCCTGGCTGGACGTAGTGCCTCATGCCAGTAATCCTACCACTTTGGGAGGCTGAGGCAGGAGGATCACTTGAGGCCAGGAGTTTGAGACTAGCCTGAGCAAGGGCAAGACTCCATCTCTACTATAAATAGAAAAATTAGCCAGGCATGGTGGTGTGCACCTATAGTCCCAGCTACACAGGAGGCTGAGGCAGGAGGATCGCTTAAGCCCAGAAGTTTGAGGTTGCAGTGAGCCATTGCACTCTAGCGCAGAGACCCTGTCTCAAAAAACAAAGCAAAAGAAAAAAACAAAAAAACCCAACAAAGTTAAAATTATCAACTCCTAAAAGCAGTTTAAACCTACATATGGGTAAGTCAAGTACATTATGGCAGTTAAAAAATCACTACATTGGCCAGCCCCAGTGGCTCATGCCTGTAATCCTAAGCACTCTGGGAGGCCGACATGGGAGGATCACTTAAGGTCAGGAGTTCAAGACCAGGCTGAGCAAGAGCCAGAACCCCGTCTCTACAAAAAAATAGAAAACTTAGCCAGGCCTGGTGGTGTATGCCTGTAGTCCCAGCCACTGGGGAGGCTGAGGCAGGAGGATCGCTTGAGCCCAGGAGTTTGAGGTTGCTGTGAGCTAGGCTGATGCCATGGCACTTTAGCCCAGGCAACAGAGTGAGACTCTGTCTCAAAAAAAATAATAATAAAAACATTACTACATCAAGAAAAGAAACAAAGGGGATTAATTTGTTTTCAGATGTAATATATAATCTTTCAATGAGAAAATATGGAGAAAATACTACTTACCATTATCATTAGTTAAATTGAGCAACACCCCAATGATGGCCCTCATGCAGTCCTCCACTGCTTTGCCCACATGGTTGGTTACATTCTGGTGAGGCAGAGGCTTACTGTCAGCTAAGCATATGCTGTCTTCAGCACGATTATACTGCTGAATCAGTTCTTCACAATGCTGCAATGCTCTTAAAAGAAAATAAAATGTGGACTATTATGGTAAATAATAATAGTACACAATAAATTTGTACTTACTTGAACCTAAATGCTGCCAGATTAAATCTTATTTTATTTTGCAAAATATGATAATTTTAAAAATTTCTCTAAGGAAAGGTAGAATTAAAACTCATGGCAAAAGTTTATATTTGTACTAACTACATCTACCACTAGTAAACTCTTTATTTCCCGGGAGTTGTCCCCCATTTTACTGATCTCTCCGATACAACAGACAGACCACAACCCTTCCCCAAATAGGTAAACCTTTAAGAGCTAATGTTGGACACCTCTGATTCTCATTTAGATATTTTTCATTTAGAAAGCAAGCTCTTAGCAGGTAGGGATTGTTATATATACTAATATTACATAATAAATAACCTTGTAAAGGACAGGTATTAAGTACTTTATATGCATTAGAGCAAATCATTATTTTTTAACTAGAAGTCACTCAAACTGACATGTCTCCTGGCAGCCATCCAAGGGTATATACTGAGCTGCATCCAAGGATTCTCAAGATACTACCCAAAATAACAAGGAATAATCCTTAAACCGGTCTAGTACTTCTAAAGAATCTCTTTAAATCACCAAGATCACTAAATTTACTTTTAAGTCTAATGTAAATCAAGTAAGCTGACTCTGTCAGTTGATTTTTCATGTATTAATATTATATGCCATACAAAACTACTAAAGAAGTCCACACCATATCTAATCCACCCCTAGGTGCCCTTTGGAACACTGAGGAAATTCTATAAGGTTCCTAACCCTTTGTTTAGGACGGTGTTCCTCATGACTAATCTAAAATAATTTGTTCTGATGTTTGGGAATGTTGGCCAGAATTACCAAGCTGTTGATAACTCAACTGTCTTTAATACTGAGCTAAACTGTGGCTTCAAAGGTAGGGGGAAGTTCAGCATATACTATTTAATCTATCAATATGCTATCTATGCATAAATTGTGGTTCTACTGAAAAGCTCAAAAAGATAGATGAATGCTCTTTCACAAATATCCAATTCTGACCTCTCCTGCCACTTCCAAGACATCTGACTTAAATTTCCTAATCACAATCAAAGAGCTAAAAACCTGTCATATTAAATATAAATATCTCCTTTTACAAGGCACTTGTCATGGTTTCTGAAGTATACAAAAGAGACCTTTTAAAATGAGAAACAATATATACAATTATTTGTCAATTTAAAAAATAAAAAATAATATATAATCAGAAACAGATTTAATTTTTAAGAACATTCTTTGGTAAGGCAGAATAAAAGATGATAAAACAGGTGGAATGTATATATTAAGAATACTAACTGTGAAATAAAATTTTCAAATGCAAGACAAATGAAGAGATGGAGAAGAAATCTACAGATTAAAAAAAATCTACTGGTAAATTTGAAACTACTGGTAATTTAAGATTATTAGAAATTTCAGTATTGACTAAACATATTAAGCAATTAATAATTTACACCCTGTGAAAAATAGTATTGTGCTTATACTTTTTAAAAGAGTCCTTTTCTTTTACAGCATATACTCAAGTATTTATAGATGGAATGATAATGACATCTGGATTTGCTTCAAAATAATACAGGAGGGGGAATGCATGGGGTTATAGATAGAAATAAAACTGGCCACAATTGATAACTTTTTTTATGATGGGGAGAGTGAAGAGGGGGGTTCAATTTCCTTTTTTTTTTTTTTTTTTAAATTAAGACAGAATCTCAGTCTGTCACCCTGGGTAGAGTGCAGTGTTGTCATCATAGCTCAAACCTCAAACTCCTGGACTCAATCGATCCTCCTGCCTCAGCCTCCCAAGTAGCTGGGACTACAGGTATGTGCCACAATACCCAGCTAATTTTTCTATTTTTAGTAGAGACGGGGTCTCACTCTTGCTCAGGCTGGTCTCGAACTCCTGAGCTCAAGCAATCCTCCCACCTTGGCCCCTCAGAGTGCTAGGATTAAGGAGTGAGGCATGAGCCACAGTGCCAGGCCCATAACTGATAATTAAGCTGAGTAAAGTATATATAAGGGTTTATTATACCATTTTGTCTATTTTTGAAATTCTCCAAAATAAGAGGTTAAAAAATAAATAAAATGAAGTAAGAGTGCTGTGGGCCTCTGATAAGGCCCACTTCCTAAGAAAATTGCAACATACATCCAAAGATAATAAGGCATCAAAGAGATGTGGAATATATGATTATTTTTTCAAAATAGAGATTTGGAGAAAGTTAACCATGTGGTATTGTGCTGGAAAGGCTAAAGGCCAGAGAACTAGGGCAGAGATAGCAAAAACTAGGACAGAGATATCAGGAAGAGGCTGCTGTAATAAGGTAGAACGAGGACTGGAGAGGTACTTGGGAATTTTACATGCACTGAGGTAATAACGTTAGCCTAATTGTAATGAAAGTTGGGCAGGGAGAATGTGGAATGGGAGAACTACATATAGATTTGGAAAAACAAGTATTACTATAAATAAAGGGCAGAAGAAGAAGGCTAGAGAAGTCCACTTATAACAAAAATAAGGACTAATGCTTTTTGTTGACTATATGCCAAGCACTGCTCTAGGCTTTACATATTGACTAATTTAATTCATTAATACAACATGCACAATACACAATAGATATTTTAAAATCATTTAAAATTTTAAAATGTTTTATATATACATATATTTAATATACACTATTTTAAAATCTATTATATATAATATGTAAATACATTAAGTCATTTTATTGTAACAGCAATGGTAAGTTGATCAGATATAATTATTAACCTCCTTGTGAAGAACTTGTAGGAAATAAGTGACTTGTCCATAGCTATGCAACTTAAGTTAAAAAACCACAACCCAGTCATTTTGGCACCAAAATCTGCACTCTTTAACTTTTGCCCAATAATGTACCCTGAATTCACAAACTCAACAGAGCATTTTCTGGAGAAAGGTAATGCAAGTTTACTTCCGTTATGGTCAATCCAAGTGTTTTAAATAAATAATATGCTAGATTGTAGAAAAACTTACCTAGCTGATGAAACAATGAGTTGTGAATCTTTATATGCTATCAAGTAACTTTGATTCTCTGGATTATGCACTGTTACCTAAAAGGCAAAAATATAATTGTGGCAATCCATAACTTTCATTGATTCACATAATACCACATTCTGCCTGGTAACCTAAAACAGGGGTCCCCAACCGATGGTGAGTTGTATAATTATTTCATTATGTATTACAATGTAATAATAATAGAAATAAAGTACACAATAAATGCAATGTGCTTGAATCATCCCAAAACCATCCCCCCACCCAGTCCCTGGTCCATGGAAAAACTGTCTTCCATGAAAATGGTCCCTGCTGGTGCTCTAAAAGATACAAAGATGAGGACAAAATAGCCCCTGTTCTCTAATGGAATAACTTCACAACCCATGTGTTCCAGAATGTAAAATAAGAGAGCTTTAGTACAAAAGTAAGACCACTATTATAATTGCTCATTCATAATTTACGGATTCGATACTCTAGATTCACTGTAACGAATTACTGAAAGTAATTCTGACATTACTTTAAATGTCAGAAAAGAGCAGTCCTCAACTTATAAAGAAACTAATACGTTAAATTTATAAGTGGATTCACTTAGAATATATTTTTACAAAAGAGTAATATCTGTTATGTAATGTACCTGAAACACTCTAAAATAAATAAGGAACAATTTCATCTACACCAGCAGCGTTTAACTAACACGTTATTTTCCCCACAGATGTGTTGGCTAATCTAACCTGGTCTACAACCTATGCATTCTGAAATTCATTGGCAGTATAAATTCTAATCTACACTGAACTGGGTTAAGTAATTCATAAAAGCCAAAGAACAAAATATACTTAATGCAGTTCAACAGTATCATTCTCTAAAGCAAAATATTGTAACAAGCTGTGCCTACAAATCATCTGCTAAATAAAGAAAATGCTCATCAATTAAAAAATAAACAAAAACCTGACTTTATTTAACTATCATTTTCTGCAAACAAGTTGAAGTATGTAAGCAGAAATCAACACCAAGGAAAGAATAATAAAGTTTGGCACACATAAGCAAACTTGACACTTTATTTGGAACAATAATATAGGTAGTCTTAAAATATAAAACTCATTTAACTTGTTCATTAACAACTGGTTGCTCAAATAATGCACTGCAAGTTCAATTTGGAAAAACAAAGATGAAACCCTATATAAAATATTTGGCACTCTCTCTCTCGCATACACATAATCACAATTACGACTGAATAATTTTCTCCAAATAGCTGTCCATACTTACACTTTCTAAAACTCGTAAACATCTCTCTGCTCCCCATAAGGAGGCTACTAGTTTCTCTTCATCCTCATCTCTACTTAAATGATCCACACATTCTTTAACTAGGTGGAAAAAAATGGACATGAGTTAGTATCTATCACCTCAATACTTACCCCTTAGCTAACATTAAAAGCCATGTGCACACATAATATGAATAGAGCCTCTCTGAACATTATTCTAGGTTTCATATTGTGAGACTCTGGAATGTATCACACTGTATATATAATTTATTTCCATAACCCCCAATGCCAAAGTGTTAATAACCTCTTCTTTAAAAGTGAGAGATCTGCAGGTTGCTACTAAAAGAATAGACCTTTTCAACCTGATATAATTATTTTTTGAAGTATGTGAATATTTTTTCAGGCTTTAAATAATATATAAAAATAATATGTAAAAATGTTATATGTGTGCATATCATACCTTTATCTACAATATGATCCAGACCACCCAAAAGCCGGAGTTCTTCTTTAAACCAGTCTCCTGCTCGTTTGGAAGTGAGGGACAGTAATGTCTCCATAGCTAAATGCCCAGTCTAAAAATCAGAAGCATCATCAATGAATATTTACTCTTAGCAATAATTCTGAGACAATTCTAGAGATTTTTTCTTTACAAATATTCACTGCATACTACCAAAACATAGGTTTTTTTAAATAGAATAGTGTTTTAAGTAAAATTGAACTTGTCTGGGAGTGGTGGCTCACGCCTGTAATCCTAGCACTCTGGGATGCCAAGGCGGGAGGATCACTTGAGGTCAGGAGCTTGAGACCAGTCTTAGCAAAAGCTGAATCCCGTCTCTACTAAAAATAGAAAGAAATTAGCTGGGCAACTAAAAATAGAAAAAAATCAGCACGCCTATAGTCCCAGCTACTCAGGAGGCTGAGGCAGGAGGATGGCTTGAGCCAGTCTGAGGTTGCTGTGAGCTATGGTGACGCCACAGCACTCTAGCCCGGGCAACAGAGCAAAACTCTGTTTCAAAAAAAACCCAAAAAGAACTGAACTAATTTTTATCAGAATAGTCTATGTTGAACAAATGATTTTAACCACACAGCTTGTTTTCATAGAGAAAACTTGTTACTAAAAGTAGTCTACCATTTGTCAGTTCAATACAGTATATACAGGTACTATTATTTCCACAGTACAGAGGCTCAATAGGGGGCTGTCAAATCAAAATGTACACGAATTTAAACTGTAAATCAATGTATCAGGGCTGGGTACAGTGGCTCTCGCCCGTAATCTCAGCATTTTGTGAGGACTATGTGAAGCCAGGGGTTCGAGGCCAGAGCAACAAAGCAAGATCCAATCTCTACAAAAAATTAACAACAACATGAAACCAGCCACATGTAGTGGCATGTGCCTCTAGTCCTAGCTGCTCAGGAGGCTGAGCTGGGAGGATCTCTTGAGCCTAGGAGTTCAAGACTGTTGTGAGCTTTGATTGCCCCACTACACTCCAGCCTGGGTGACAGAGCGAGACCTGTCATTCATTCAATCAATCCTATACATATAGGATTAAATTAAGACAAAAGATGTAACAAGTAACACTTCCAGGAACAAAGTATGGGAGTGACAGTTGCCCAGAATCTTCAAAAGCACTAGTTACCACTTTAAATTTTTGCCCGAGGGTACAAAATGGTAAGTTATTGCTTATATTTTTCTGAGTAGAGTAAACCGGAAAATTTTTTCACAGATTTATTAGCTGTATTTCTTCTACTACAAGACCTCTGTTCACTATTCTTTCCTTATTTTCCTAAAAAGTTGTCTTTTCTTATTATTCAGTATATTTTCTTATCTATTCTGCATACAAATCTTTTGTTCATTTTAGTGCTGCATATTGACCGGCCTTAAACCTTATACTGTAGGGTTGGCAGCTTGGATATCGAACATGGGGCGGTAACCAATGGTGACAAAATTATATATAAATAAGTAAGCCTTCAGGGACCACCACTAGAGGGAGCACAAAAGAGCCATATTTACAACCAGATTAGTTTTTCTTTTCTCTTTGACATTCTATTGTTTTTCTTTTTTAAAGCATACGGCCACCTCCCAATAAAGAGCAATCTGTCTCTGTGGAACTTCAGCATGACAAAAGAAATGCTTTAATTAGCAAAGATGGAAAAGACCCCTCTTTCTTCCCAAAGCTTCTGCCCTTCAAAAGATGCTAGTTTATGGCCAGTGCTGTGGCTCAGGCCTGTAATCTCGGCACTGTGGGAGGCTGAGGTGGGAGTACTGCTTGAGTCCAAGAGTTTGAGGTTGCTGTGAGATAGGCTGATGCCACTACACTCTAGCCTGGGCAACAAAGTAAGACTCTGTCCCTGTTGCGCACCATCCCAAAGAAAGATGCTAGTTTACATTAAGTCCTCCTGACCTATTCGGAACTGCATATAATTTAGATATTTAAAAATATAAACAGATATTACCAGTGAACATCTTAGTATTACAGATTTAGAAGAGATCTAGAAGATTTCAGTCTATTTTTTTTTAAGTTGTTATCCAAGGTGGCAAATACAAAACTAGAATCCAATACTTCAAAAACAGATTCATTCTGTCCCTCAAAGAGTAATTTACTTAAACTGGTTCAGGTCTATCAGCTCATGAGTCATAGTAGTAAAGCTGAAATCTGATAAGGCAATCTTTGTTTGGAAAGAAAAGTGACAGAAATTTGATATTAACATAGTAAAAACTCATACATTTTTATGCTAAAAAGGGATGTTATTGTTTGTTTCTACTGGCACAAAACGGAATCTTTGATATTTGAGTCTTTATTCAGTATAATATAAGCTAGCATTTAAAAAATCTACTATTCAAGCATTTCATATGAAAACTGGAAAAGTCTTCCAAGAGTTAAAGCACAAATCATTAATCAGAATATTACACTGTAATTATTAGCTCTGGTATTTGAATTCTATCTAAAAATCCTGTCTAATCATAATACAGTCACACTCCACATGATGATGCTTTGGTCAACAACAAACGACATTTAACAGTGATCCCATAAGACTATAATGGAGATGAAAAATTCTTACAGTCTAGCAACATCGAGGCGTAATGCATTATTACTCATGTGTTTGTGATGATGCAGGGAAAACAAACCTACTGCGCTGCCAGTCATATGTGAGTATAGCACATATAATTATGCACCGTACCTAATACTTGATAATGATAATAAACAACTATATTACAGGTTTATGTATTTACTATACCACACTTTTGATGGTTATGTTAGAGTGTACTCCTACATATACTAGAAAAAAAGTTCATTGTTAAACAGCCTCAGGCAGGTCCTTCAGGAGGTATTCAGAATGCATTGTTATCATAAAAGATGACAGCTTCATGCATGTTATGGCCCCTGAGAACCTTCCTGTGGAACAAAATGTGGAGGTGAAGACAGTGATATTGATCATCTTGACCCTGTACAGGCCTAGGCTAATTTTAACTGAAAAGTTTAAACAGTAAAATAAATAAATAATTTTAAAAATATAAAGAAAATATGTTTATGCAGCTGTAGAACATGTTTGTGTTTTAAGCTAAGTGTTATTACAAAAGAGTAAAAAAGTTAAATTTAGTGTAGCACTGAGTATACAAGGTTCGTAAGGTCTGCAGTAGTGTGCAGTAAAGGCCTAGGCCACTCCCCACTCACTCACTCAGCCAGAGAAACTTCCGGTCTGCAAGTTCCATTCATGGTAAGTACCCTCTACAGGTGTACCATTTTTTATCCTTAATACTGTATTTTTGCTAGACTTTTTCTATGTTTAGATACACAAATACTTACCAGCACTGTGTCACAAGTGCCTCAGTATTCACTACAGTAACAGGCTGTACAGGTTTATAGCTGCTATACCATATAGTCCAGGTGTGTAGTAGGCTATACCATCTAAATCTGTGTAAGTGCACTCTATGACGCTGCACGATGAAATCACCCAACAATGCATTTTCAGAACATATCCCTATCATTAAGTGACACATGAATGTATTACTATTTTAAATTATCTCGCCATAGCACATCAGCAGTACCAATGTAATTCAAGGAAAAAGTTAAGCAACTAATATAACAAACAAAACTAATGTGCAGGGCATATTCGCTGTACAAAATAATGTACTAAATTTACTGTATAATTTAAAACAAATATAATATGCAAGAATAGCTAATGTGAGTGAGAACAAAGGAGACATTCTAAAATCAGCAGTGGTGCTCTAGTTATTTTATTCTATTACATTCTATTTTATTTTATTTTAGAGACAGAGTCTCATTCTATTGCCCCAGGCATAATGCAATGGTGTCATCTTAGCTCACTGCAACCTCAAACTCTTGGGCTCAAGAGATCCTCCTGCCTCCTGCCCTCAGCCTCCCAAGTAGCTGGGACTACAGGCTTGTAGCACCACGCCCAGCTAATTTTTCTATTTTTAGCAGAAACAGGGTCTCACTCTTGGCTCAGGCTGGTCTTGAACTCCTAAGCTCAAGTGATCCTCCTGCCTCAGCCTCCCAGAGTGCTAGAGTGCTTTGGTTTTAATTATGTGAGTAAACTAACACAGTGTAGGAAAGTTTTTATACTGGTATTTACCATCCTAATAAATTCAACAAAACATAGAGCAAATTCAATAATCAGATTTATCACCACCTTCTTTAACAGTGAATACCTTTGAAATGAATCTTAATGTTGAACAATATACAAGACAAAAAAATAGAAGTACATTCATTCAATTATGCAGCAAATAAAAATTGCAGGCTCAGATTTATTCTCCCATAGAATGAAAAAATTAGTAAACACCATAAAATGTTCAAAGTAAAAAAATTACAAATATGGGTTTTTTTGTTTGTAGACAGAGTCTAACTCTGTCCCCCTGGCTAGAGTGCAACAGCATCATCATAGTTCACTGCAACCTCAAACACCTAGGCACAAGCCATCCTCCTGCCTCAGCCTACTCAGTAGCTGGGACTACCGGCGTGCGCAACCATGCCTGGCTAATTTTTCTATTTTTAGTAGAGACAGGGTCTCACTCTTGCTCAGGTTGGTCTCAAACTCCAGACCTCAAGCGATCCTCCCACTTAGTGTTAGGATTACAAGCATGAGCCACCTCGATCAGCCAGATACCTGTTAAATGTAGTACACAGGAAGTATGGTAACATGGAGAGATCACTGTGTCATCTGAGCACAACAGCTATTTCCCTCAATTTTATAAAGGGAAAAGTACTAAATATATGTGAGTTTTGTATCTTGCCTTTTAAAGTTAACTTGCTTTTCCCACCTCCCAGAATCTATTACTAACTCTACCTTAATTCAATAAAGCAATAACCTTAAGACATATCTAGCTAGCACAAAGCATTCCATCAATTTTTGCAGCAAATGCTGTACTCTTGAGTCGGCAATACAAAAAATGTTTATATTAGTTTTGACGTTGGAAATGTCTGCAAATCAGGTTATTATATGATAAATAATCATATTCTTTCAAAACCTAGTAATCAATGGAATACTATTGATTCCACATGTAAAAAGGCCAGAAGAAAGCAGAACTGGAATCAAGCACAAGCAGCATGGCCACCTTAAACATGGGGAGTTGTGTTGAGGGTAGCCACTGGCCATGTCTCTATTAGGATGGACACTGCTCCCAGGAAAGGCAGGTAACCAGGAATCTTCCTTTTGAATCTTTGGGGTTGTTCAGGTCCCCTGAAGCACTTAGTCAGACACCCTGAGATACTATGGAATAAATAAAATCTTCCTCATCGAAAATGGCCCTTGCAAATCCTTTGGAATTTTTATCCCTGAAACCCACGGAGAATAAGAATTCAAATTCCTAATAGCCTAAAAGTAGTTTCTACATTTTAAACGAAAAAAACTCGAGACAAAGATTAGGCAAAACACAATAGAAAATTTACATATTGGTCAAAAACATAAATACAAAGGAGCTAGTTTAGGAATTTCAGGTGGGGAACGGAAATATGTTCACAGCTACGCCTTACGAGAATTTGCCAAATTGTAAACCAAGGCTAGGAAAAGTTAAATAATTTATCCCAAGTCACATAGCTGTTGTGACTAACCAAAGTATGAAAGTAATTTTCATCTTACAATGGAAGGAAGAAGGAACCTACCGTTATATTTTCTAGATCAAGATGCTTGTTGTGCACAGTTTCACAGAGTCTTCGGATTTTTTCTTTAATTTTGTTCATGTCTTTTTCATTCAGTAGCTTAGCTGATGAAGCATCTTGTTCCAGTTCTAAAAGTCGAATCATTAGATCTAGGCTAGCTCTGTCAAGATCCATGTTCAAGCGATCTCTACTCAGTATATACATAAGGGCAGCTGTACAGAGGGATAGATTCTTCAAAAGACCAAAAAAGAAAAGGGAAAAAGTTCATGTAAGCAATTACTGACAATCTCAGGAAGACTGTTATTCACTTTTTATTTTTTTGGAGACAGAGTCTCACTTTTTTGCCCTGGCTAGAGTGCAATGATGTCATTGTAGCTCACTGAAACCTCAAGCTCCTGGGCTCAAGCAATCCTCCTGCCTCCTGCCTCAGCCTCCCCAATAGCTGGGACTATAAGCTCTCACCACCACAACCAGCTAATTTTTCTATTTTTAGGAGAGACAGGGTCTCATTCTTGCTCAGGCTGTTCTTGAACTCCTGAGCTTAAATGAATCTCCTGCCTCAGCCTCACAGAGTGGTAGGATTAAAGGCATGAGCCACCATGTCCCAGCCTGTTACTGACTTTTGTTTACAGGTTAAAATACCTAAAACTGTTATTGCTGACCATGTTGGAAACCTTGAAAATGTTTTAGTCAGAGGTCCCCTTAAAGTATTCTAGGAAAACATGGTTAACTGATCAACAGATAAATAGCCACTGTTTAAAATTTTCCTTTCTATGGACCTTCCCTACATGAATGCCCCAAAGCTGAAAGAATATAAGCTGAACTGCATATTTCTTTGGCCATTTTGTGCTAAATGAAGAGTTTGTAGAAATGTTTTACAGCTCATGTGTGCGTGCACACTCTCTCTATGCTTTTTTATATATATATATATATATACACACACACACACACACACAAACCCTATTATCATATACTTCATTGTTTATTCTTCATGATATAGCAGTCAAATTTCAGTTTAAAACCCACAATATAAATTCGTTTTAAATTCTGCATTAAAAACTTAGCATAAATTTACCTCAGTATATAAACCTAGGATGCTGAAATAAACATATTTGCATTCATTTCTTTAAAATAAACCAATCAAGTCTGGTTGAACTAAAAAAATTAATAAAAATGTGCTTTCAAAATCACATCAGATGGTTAGCATACTCTGCTTATAATAGGTACTTCAATCTAAAAGTACTGAAGTACCTTCAGATAAATGTTAATATAACAAAAAGGTCTTACATTTGGGATATTCCAACATTTGAGATTTTCTGTACTTATTTCAATGAACAAAAACACAATTAACTATCTAAAGATTTAAACTTTGAGCCCCCAAAAGTAGAAAAACTTCAGACTAGGTGTCTGGTTAAATGTTTACATAGCAAATTATTTTTGGAAATTAGGATGCCATAGTAAAGGCCACAGGGATTCAGTGCCTGCAAAAGCACACAGTAATGCCTTTGTCCACTCTCTAACTGTGTAACAAAGCAAATCTCTCTCTCTTCCCCCTTGTTATTCTGTATCTGCTACAATATGGTAAGGGAGTTATGCTCACTCAGAGTTAAGTATGTTACTTTCAGTTTCAGAAGACTCTATATCAGATGAATTCTGTGTCATCTAATCTGTATTTATGGCATAATTTCTTTGAGCAAAAATATACTGAGGACATCTCAAAACACCACTATTGATAATGATTAGCAATAATGATTACTTTCTTCTAACTGTGGACAATGTTAAACCTACCTTACTATTAAGATAAAGCATCAAAGGCAAGGAAAATGAAGAATTTATATACTTTCCATGACGCTTTTTAAAAATTAGGACATATCAGAATCAGTTTTTTGCCATGCTATTATGTTAAAAGATCCTACTCAGTACTTTCTGATTAGAGTAAATCATACTAAAAGAATCAAATATCCAAGTATGGTGTGTTAGCTATAATAACTGAATAAAATTTTGATAGCGTAAATTGACAAATTTAGAAAAAAAAAAGTTATCATAAGAAAATAATCAAATAACTTATGAACCAAAAATCTGTGGCATCAAGCTCTACATATTTAGCAAATAAAATGAACCCAATCTATAAATAGGATATATTTATAGAATATTCAGTAAAGGTATTTTTTGGTAGCCCAACAGACCAGAATTTTTCAGCACAATTTCTCAATCCCAGAAACTTAAAAATACCTGATGGTGCTGGCAATCATCCAAGGTTTTAAAGACCATTGCTACCATTCCATGTGCTCTCAGGTGCATTCGAAAACTGGGCATGGCACATTTAGTAGCCAAGCTAATAACACTAAAAGAAAATAAGACTAAGTTAGAAGGACTGAAAACAGCTAGTACATTAGTTTCTGGAATACCAAGCAAGCAAACGGGGATGGGGTGCCCATACATATTACAATGCAAAAACCATACGCAAACCAAATTAATAAAAACACACTGATGCCTAGTATGTGATTAGATATGTTATATTTAAAAATATAAGTAACACATGATCACCTTTAGTGCGTTTCTTAGGTTACCACTACCATTAAAAGCATAGTCTTAGCTACCTTTCATAATGTTTCTGATATATAAAAATTATAGATATAAATAATTATATTTGAATATATTCTGAGAACAGTTCAATCAAATTATAGTATTCAATCAATCCATTATAAGACAATCAGTCCATTACAATATGAAAAAGATGACTCAGATCCCAACATGCTTAATTAATCTAATTTATCATTTGAATGTCTGAAATTCCGAGCTGCAAAAGGACTTAGATTCTTTAGCATAATGTTTTTCCTTGTAAGCACCTGGAAACTGAAGGCTATACTATAGTAAAAGGCTCTGATCACCCTCCTTTGCCTTCATCATACAGAACCAAGTCCTTTATGAAGAAACTGATCATATTTTAATATATCACTGGCTATATACTACACTCATGATAACAAAATGAAAAATGTTTGGCTTTACCTAGTTGGAAAAAATTAGTAACATGCAGCGTGCACAGAATTATAAAATATAAATGATCTTACCTAAGGCAACGTGTGTTTAGAGGCTGAGTGCTCTTTAAGCCACTTAACAAGTACTCGATGTCATCAGTGAACTCTTGATTTTCACCAAATTCCACCACATCATTGAAGTGCTTCACATGCTGAACAACAGTATATAACTGCCAAGAAAAAAATAAGTCCACCTCTTTTGTAACTCTGAATTAGCATATTTAAATCTACGGGCTCATTGTATTTTATATAAAAGTATATAAAATACTTTATTGGATGGCAACAAAAAAATATGTTAAAAACAATGACAGTGGTAGGAAGTTTGTGGTTCAAAATTGTGATTATCAGTGTACTGGTATTTGTTCAAGACATTAAAAGGCTAAATGTTACATACAAAAATCTATCCACGTGCTGTAAAACTGTATATGGCTGCTTACTTCTTTGTCTTCTCTTCTGCATTTCAGAGCAGTAACTATATCTTGGTAGGGCTGAGTAGGTATTGTCACAGTTTTTATCACTTTGGATGGTGGTGCAGGAGCCTTAAAAACTCCATCATCTTTTTGATTTGGTTCCTTTGAAGACAGCCTCACCTATTAATAAAGGTATTAAATTAGTTGTTCTAAATATATATATAAATAGGAAATTTTTGTCTATCTGGTAAATTTAGCTTTAAAAAAAGTAAATAAAGCTTTATAAAGATGGAGGTGGAGGAGGAGGAGGAGGAAGGCCTCTGAAAGGTCTTCAGGGATACTTTAAATTCCATGCACTAATAGGTTAAGATATATGTTTTACACACAAAAGAACCACTCAGGAATTTTTTTCTGGTCTTCTTCAAACTTGTATTTCACACGGTTTGTTTGTGTCTCCAGTACCATTAGAAAGACTAAAGAACCACAATTGCAAGCATAAATAGCTTTCATAAGCAGCTAGGAATGGAAAAGTAAAACCATAATAGAGGCTGGAGGATTACTAAAGGCCAGGAGTTCCAGACCAGCCTAAGCAACATAGCAAGATCTCATTTCTACAAAAAAATAGAAAAATTAGCTGGGTGTGGTATCGAATGCCTATAGTCTCAGCTACTCAGGAGGCTGAGGCAGGAGGATCACTTAAGCCTAGGAGTTTGAGGTAGCAGTAAGCTACGATGACACCACTACCACTGCTCTGTAGCTCCAGCAACAGAACAAGGGGAGGTAGAGACTACAATAGATAGACAAAAGAATTTTAATAGCACAGGAGTCTAAAGTAGTTAGTAGTTTAGGGTAGAAATAGCTATAAGATCATGGTATGCACCATCAGGATATATAATTTGTAATATACACAATGATGATTTTATACGATGAAAAGGAGTTTAATATAATCAATCTAAGAAGACAAGGAACTAACTGCACATTATATTTTAGAAATACCTCTATCTCCATTTTTTTGTTGTTACAAAGAACTCATTTGACAGCTCCAGATGACTGACTGAGGCTTAACAGTTAACCTACAAGTATTCATGTATGATACTATCATTCCTTCTGAAGAAAATAATTTGCTAAAAATCTTTTCTCAAATGTGTTTTGGATTAAAAAGTGTTATTGGAATGTAAGAAGAGGTCTGTCTCTGGAAAGCAAATTAAGCACTAAAAGCCACTTAGAGATCCATGTAGGATGTAATTTACAATATAGCTCTTAATGGTTGATACAAACATCAAATAAGGACTAATTTGCTTTTAAATACTAAAGTTCCATAAAATGTGGGTCATGAGGAAAAAAAGTCTGATTTTTTAAGGCTTTAATTTTTAAACTACCAGCACTAGAATTTCTGCTGCCCTATCCACAATCCCCACTTTTCCAACAAATTAAACTGAAAACACTAAATTTCAGTGAAGATAAAATAAACTGTTAAATAGAAAAGTCCAAGACTTACAAATTATAAATTAAGATAGCAACTGCTTAACTAATTTATAACTTACTAAACACAAAATGAAGAAATACAGTTCACTTACTGGGACACTCTGAGGTTTTACTACTGGTGGTCCAGGCAGTTCTTCCGAATCTGGATGGTTCCAATGTCTGGCATTATATACAGCTTTTGTAGGTGACTGGAGAAATGAGAAAATGATCAACTGCTTCCATCCTTGTGTAAGTGCCTCACTTAATAAACTAAAAATCATAAAGAATAATATAATGGCCGAGTACAGTGGTTCACGCCTGTAATCCTAGCACGCTGAGAGGCCGAGGTGAGAGGATCACTTGAGTTCAGGAGTTTGAGACCGGCCTTATCAAGAGTGAGACTTCATCTCTACTAAAAAAAGAAAAATTAGCTGGGCGTGGTGGTGCGCACCTCTCCCAGCTACTCAGGAGCCTGAAGCAGGAGGATGGCTTGAGCCCAGGAGTTTGAGGTTGCTGTGAGATAGCCTGATCCCGCAGCATTCTACTCAGGGCAACAGACACCGTCTCAAAAAAACAAAACAAACCAAACAAAAAAACCTTCGCCTTCAAGAGGAAACTGATTAAACAAAGATTGAAAACATGGAAAAGGAATACCTCATCTTCTCCATCCTCTACAAAAGTGATGCTAAATTATGTCCTTTAAGCTTCAAATAAATGGTTTAACCTAATTAGAGATTTTCTTTGTTTATAAAACTGTAATCTTCATATTTTCAGCACTATGCACAAAAAATAAGACTACTTCAAGATTGGCCAAAAATGTTCATTAATAAATTAACCATCTCCACTTGCTAGTTGCAGTGAAGCAACAAAACTCGCATTAAGTGTCACACTAATAGCTTGTTATATAAGTATTATCCTTCGTAAAGTAGAAAACCCCTCATTTACATTGTGTATTCAAACTCATTATAGTCATGCACCAGGTTTTCATAAGATGATACATTAGTAATCTAAAAAAAATTATGCACTCATGCAATGACTTGATCTGGCTTCCTGAGACACAAAGCACAGGATGGACTCAACAAAAAATTTAAAACTTAGCTCTCTATTCCTTTCATTCCTCTCAAAGATCGGCTATGTAATCTGTGCGCCTGCTAGTTATCAGATCACTGATCTGAACACCCTCTAGTACTCTAAGAATAGTCAGAGCCCAGGCTATGATAATAGCCTTTTAGTAAGAACAAGTGCCTCAATGCTCAAGTATTTTACTTCTTTATAAAAAGCACTGATTACAGGTAATAATCTAGTTACCTAGTTGCACAGGTAACAAAATAGCAGGGCAACTCTAAATTAAAACACTAGAAGAGTACTTGAAACAATATCACTATGTGAGTATTAAATATTATTGATAATAATTGTTATGTGATGATGTGCCATTCAGTTTGATTCTAACACCTTTATAAGAACATCGGAATACGTGGTCTACCTACCTGACAGGGACTATGATAAGCACATGGAATAACTGACACGAAAATACTCTGTTAACGAGTATTATTATAAAAGGCA